CGCGCCATTACGAGCTTCGCAAATACGATATATATATTATAACATAGTGATATTATGTACTTTATAAAATAAAATATTTATATTAATAATTGATTCATACTAATTTGTGACAAATAGATACATACTCACATTTATTAGTGAATATATATTATATATTTATAAATATATATTATATATTATATATATAACACAATATGTCAAATTTTACCATTTCAAATTTTACACATACTATTCGATAGATTACACATATACTATTCAATAATATCGTAAAACTATTTCAACACTTGAAATGAGTTTCTTAGAATAAAAAATTACTAACAGAAATTCTTTTCAACGTAATATTTTAAAATAAAGAAACACAAGATCGAAGCACTTTCCCACTAAGCTACCTGTAGAATATGAAGCTATGAATGCAACAAGATTCGATTTATTTCGACCAATCGCTTTCGAGATATCTATTCGATCAATCGATAACCTTACATTTATCTAGTATAATAAAATCACAAAAGTATTTCGATTTATCAATTTCCTTTCTTTCTTTCTCTTTTATTCATCAATAATATATAATATAATGCCTAATTTCCTTATTCGCTTTTATATTATTACCTACACGCATATTATATTCTCTACCAATCATTCTAGAAAAAGATTTCAGGTTAACTATATTCGCGCCATTACGAGCTTCGCAAATACGATTAATACATACTTACTTTGACCTTCGTTCCTTCCACCCCTTAAATTATAATGGATCGTAACGAGTATATATATTGTCAAGCAAAAAAGCAATAGGGAATAATAATAAGAAAAAAACAAGAGATATTAAAACAATTTATAATTGTCTATTTACCTTCGAATCCGTCGTATAGCCGATGTACGTGCTACATGCGGACAAGGTTGTGATTCCGGTGGACAGTCACAGTTGCCAACCCCGGGTCGAGTACGACGAACCCTTATTAGTACAGGATGTACCGGACATGGCTGCACTTGACAACCACACACAATTGTCTGCGGTCCACCACGAGATTTCCGTCCACCTCCTCGTTTCGCGCGTTGGTCCACGTGCAGCTGACAAGGCTGTACAGGGCAACCACAGCGAGCTGTGGCACTGCGACGCCCGGCACCTTGTACACGTCTCCACACCCGCTCCATTCAACGACCGGCGTGCGACTAACAAATATACGCCCCACACCACTCGATTCTCTCGATTTATCTCGACAACCTTCGGCTAACTTCGGTTCGTTCCGTAACCCCCAGTTTTTTGGCAACTCTGTCACGCATGGAGTCCTGATTTCTAGGAATGCGCGCACATTGCAATCCTTTTTACACGATATATTCTAATTTTTCAGTGAAAACACGTGAAAATATGTATATATCAATTCAACGTATGAATTATATATATTATTTTTAAATGTGCAATATTTCCTGATGATTTTGAAAATCTTTTTGGATCATTTTGTGAACTGTTTGACGAAATATGCTGTTCTTTAGAAAGGTATTTTTTTTCTTTTTATATATTATATTATTTTTATATATATTTGATTATATTGATACAAATTTCATGTATTATAATGCATTTTAATTAAACTCTTTTATAATAATGATATTTATAATCATAATTGAAACCATAATTGAATATCTCGATATATATCGTTTTGAATGAACTTCGTATACTTTCGGTTAATTTCGGCAAGATTCGTGTTTTTTTATATAAATATTCAAATGTAACAAATGCAATATCAATATTTGATATTTTATATCTTTTATATTAGTAGATATTTATTGACATATATTTTGAAATTAACTAAAAAATATAAAAAAACATAATAGATTAGATTAATTTAATAATAATGATAACATCATAGATGTACATTTAAATTAAACTATAATATATTTCTTAATTATTCACAATTATAAATATTTATAAAATGGTACAAGTTATAGTACATTAATAATACATTAATTTGATTGTGTGGTACTTAACAATGAAGCAGCAAATATTTGTTGCAAAATTCGAGGTATATCCTTGAGATCCATACAAACAAATGCACGTCCCACAGTTATTTTTTTGGTTAAACTTAAAATCAAATACAGGAACATTTATTTTTTATTTTTTTTTTAAATATTATTATTTTTATTTAAATATTAAAAAATATATGCTTACTTAAAGGCTTGATTTCCTAAAGACCCAATAAATATAGCAAAAGCATTAACATTTGGGTTTGATGTAAGAATTTTTGCAAATATCTCGGGTCGAATACCATAACGTTCAAAATTAGCGTCCGAAAGTACAACAACAATACATTCATCAGCGTCTTCTTTTGCTAAATTTATAATTGCATGTTGTGTCGCTTCTAAAGTATTATCACCAGACATGCAAAATTGTGAATGTGCGTGCATCGTCTGAAAAAATTACTCCCTTCGTAATAATGCGTCTTTCGTTTAATTAAAGTATTTCTTTACTACTATTACCTTTATTATTTCTAATCTACGTTTATTATTCACTGGCGGGTGAGTGTGATTTACGAAAACGATGCCATAGTCATCACCAGAATGACCAACAATATCGTACTGAAATTTTCCTTCATATCCATTAAATGCTTCCATTACCATAATGCAAGCTTCCATCTCTCGATCAAGACGCCCGTCGTATCCATTAAATCTATACATACTACCAGAAACATCCACCACTAATTTTAAACGCTTCGATTTTGATGGTGGAGTACCGAGCTCGGGTTCTTTTTCTGCCCTTCTTCGATAAATTGTTCTTTCCCCAGTTAGTCCTTCAATTAATTTAGTATCGTCTAACTCACCAGAAGTTTGATGCCTACACCATTGACGTTCTTTACTTTTGGCTTGTAAACTATCTATAAAATACAATTGAAATATTTTGAGTCTTTTAAACTAAAATAATTCTAAGTATAATTCAATTATTCCTCAAAATAAAATTATTTAATTTATTAAACACATTAAATAATAATATATATATTTAATAATAACATATTAAAGCCTATAAAATTTTATATATTTTTGATTATTTTACAAAAAGTATAATGAGATGATCAAATATTAACCTATTATAGTTCTTAACGCTTGAACTTCCTTTTGAACAGCATTACTAAACTGGGAATAAAGTTGATGATCGTATTCACTCATATTAATTTCTCTTAAACGTTGCTGAAATACTTTGAGGCCCATTTCTCTCGCTGCCTTTTTAATATGTTCAGGTACTGCATTCTTTTCTTCATCACTAAGTTGATGTACTGTATGACCAGCATCTAAACGATAAGGTCCACCCTTTCCGCCAAGACCCGCTGTGTCTCTTCCTAAAATTTTCATTATACATTTCAGTCTTGATTTCATACTCATATTTTATGTATTATTTATTTTACCTCCGGTTCCTCCTGCCCATGTATTGCCTCCAACATGTGGTTCATTTTTCTCATCGATTTTACCATGTTTAGGACTACTAACATCTAAGCCAGAATATCTTTCTTTTGTAATTTGCAAATTTTCATTATCATCTCCTACCATTCTTCGCCAAGCTCCAAGAGATTTTTCAATATTTGTTAATGACGTTTCCCAAAGGCGAACGCAACCACCTGCATCTACTGTTACAAGATCCTGATTTGATTTAGATGAAATGTGTAAAAAATACTTATTTGGATATATGAATTGACTCATTTGTGATATATTAACTGGTCTAAAAATATAAATAATAAATTTGATAAATATAAATAAAATAAAAGATAATTATTCAATTCAATCATAAATACTTACTTTGGTACAGGTATATAACGTAACTTATGATTTACAATATCAACAATTTCCAAATAACGAGCAATTTCGTAATTTTGTTCTGTCTTTGGAAAAACATCATCAGGAACTTCTTGAGGTGTAACTACCTTAATAATTTGTCCATTATCCATAGAAATAGTAGGGGTAAAATTATTACTAGATTTTGCTCTCGGCCAAGAATAAAGTTCATTAAAACTATCTAAATCAGGAAATCCAACAGCAATATTGGCATAGGTATTGTCACTCACAAGCAATCGATTTGGAGAATCTATTTTCTGTTTCAGTGCTGCACTAAGTAAATTACTATTCAAACTGCTATTAGTACAGTTAAGGAATGAATCAATTTTGAAATTATATTTACTAGATTCTTCTACTTTTAGCAAAATATTTGGACACGGAGACGAATATGTGGACTTTTTAAGAATATATTTGTTTCTTTGTGTGTCATCAATTAACCACTTCTTTTCTGATGGAAGTAAAATTGATCGTACCTTAAATGGCAAATTAATCGTATAAAAGCACATAAGATTTAAATCAATCATTTCTATCTTGTTAGAATTATAGGTATGAAAAACGATTTGATTATGAGATTTCAACAAATCAGATTTCATCTTTCGACGAATATTCATATTTTTCAAAGCATTTGTTATTTTATTTGATGCTATATCAAATAAAGATAACATTTCTATTTTCCGTACAGTTCCTTCGTTTAAATTCAATAATAATAAAACATCATTCTAAAAACAAATATATTTTATAATGACTATAATAAGAAAAAATTGATTTAATTTTGATTAAAAGTACTTACTATTTCTTCATGCACTAAAATATTTTGATTATTATCAGTCGCCATTGTAAATTGAAGACTGTTACTTTCCTCGTAATTTATTAATCCATATAATAAAGTTTCCTGAATTTTATCTGATTCTTGATTTATACTAAATATTTTTAATGGATTTGTAGCAAGAACATTAATTATATCATCTGTCCCGTCATTTTTTATACCTTTAGTAATTGCTAATCCTGCGACTACACTAATATTATTAAGTGGTACAGTCCAATAACTTTGTAATTCAGTAAATAAAGCTGATCTAGCTTCAATACGGTCTAAAGGTAAAAACTTTTGCATTAAATTTTTCGGTGATTTTAGTTTAATGTACTTTTCCTGTACGCGTAGTACTTCTTGTTTATTTGAAAAATTCCAAATAGTACTAACTTGATTTTCTGGTAGAGATATTCTGTAAAGGAAAAGGAAAAAAAATATTAAACATTATATTCTTTCTAGTTTTTTATTTTTTTTAAATAAATTTTATTTTTGTAAATATATTATTCAAAAATAAAAATATACATTGAAATTATTATCTATTGTATTTACATTAGATAAAAATTATTTTAATTAATTGTTATATTTTACTAAATTTTTTTCTAATCTAATTATTCTTTTTTAATAAATATCTTACTCTTTTGCTAATGCAATATTAGCAGGATTTGTTCCAATAGGAATCCCATATTCATGTAATACGGATACTAAAGTATTAAAAGTTTCTTCACTATATCGATCGAAATCGAATACATTTCGTACCACATTAGCTAAAGATTCTTGAGGAAATTTCTAAAAAATAAATGAAACAATTTGATGATAAATAAATATTAGTGATTAAAAAATAAAATATAAAAACTCACCTCTAAATGCTTTACAATATTGACAACCTCTCGAGTTGAATATGGATACGAAACCAGTCCTTGATCAGCCATATTTCGTAATTTACCAAAAGCTTTTACTAATTTAAATATTATCTTTTCATCTACGTTCGGACCATATTGTTTTAAAAGTTGAATTTCATTTTCAATGCTTGGATTATCAACAGTATGCGTACTGAATAGATCACCCAATGCTCCAAAGAAATCATTTCCCAAAAATGGGAAACCAGGTCTATTTGCTAATATTATCATCTTAAAATCTGGATGAAGCAATATTTTATTCGAATTGTCTATATTAGAAGTTAAAGAAGATACTATACGTCTGCCATCTGATAAAATCATTTCACCAGATTCAACTAAAGTCTGAAATCAATAAAAACCATTCTTTCAGAATGAATGAATAAAATTTTTAAATAAATATATAATCGCATGGAATTGAATACATTTTTTACAAAGTATAGAAATTAATATAATTTTCAACAAAATTTTGATATAGAAATTTAAAAATATTAAATTCTAAAATTATATAGATATCAAATTAGCTCTATCTGAAAATAGATTTATTAATTGATTATATATCTTTTTAAGTGCCTTGTCAATATAGTCTCTTCAATGATTAAATCCAATACAACATAATTTACATGAACATACCTTTAAAATACAAGTAACATGGGTCGGAGCTTTGTCCGCCTCATCAACAACAAGCACGTGTCCCAATTTAACAGCTTGCACGAGCGGCGAGTCTTCGTACACCACTTTTCCATCCCTAACCATTGGTTGAAGGGTCAAAGTTTGAACAGTAGTGTCTCTGTGTAGCTGTATGTATTCTCGTGGCCTATTTAAAAGTTGTAACAATCGATCGACAATTTTATTTTTGCCCACACCCTGGTTTCCAACTAACAACAAGTGTTGTCCCAAACTAAAGTCTTGCAACAAATTTTCTAAAAGTGCGATGTGTTGGGGCACATCGTAAAATAAAATGTCAGGTACTTTCGTTAAAGCTGTCGTG